TAGTCTTTCCTCCTCCACAAGAGGCCCAGTCCCGTCCTTGATTAATAAAATGGTATTTTACGCGATTACAAATTCATTGAAACCACGATGCCCCCGTTCTTGGGTAGCTCCCAGATCCTTTCAAAACGACGTTTCTGCTCTCTATGGTTCGAAGTTGAAGCATTTAGAGCTAACAAATCCTGTCGTGAAAGGCGCAACGCAGCCGCCAGGACTGTAAAGTCAAGTAGCGGAGATGTCTGAACATCTTTTTCTCGTGCCATGGCTTGTGAAAACCAGCGATTCTGGTCTCGGTCGTTTTAAGATGAAAGTGTTAAGTTATTCACTACCCTCCAATTGAGAACCCCTTCTCCGTGGCCCGAGTGGGACCCCCGTCTAACTCTACCAGACGGTCATTGACCCTGATTAATGTTAAAAATTTTGAAAGTGGATTCAAATGAGAGATCTATTCATCAACGCGAGTGCACACTAAATACATATTACTAAAAACTTTGGAAAAAAAATCGAGAAAAAAACCGTTTAGGTCTCAAATAGCAGTACAGACCTCTGGCATCTCCATGGGAACTTCTGCATTTGCGTGTTGCTCAACTTGTACAGCCCAGTCGTCGGACATTTTGCTAGTGGAGATGACCCCAAGCGACCTAAAAGCAGCTCCATAGAGCACTACTATTTACAAGAACAAGAAATTCAGTCGCTCAATCTCGCATCTCTTAACAATCGAATTACGTATGACCGTACCGATTTCACGATAACACTTATACGGAAAGTGACACAACGCATCGAAGGCATGCAAAACAATGGCAAACATTCTCATCTTCAAACCCACAAGTCTTCTTCATGTACAAGCATAGCTCACCCACCCCGGAGCTTGCTCGCCCTGCGATCACTGTGCCCGGAACGAACTATTGCGCCACGATGCCCTCTCCCCCTCCAACTACACTTCCACCCAGAAATCTTCGGGATGAAAAGCATTTTTTGGAGTGCAGAGGTTGCGCCTGTCTTCGTCGCTGAGAAAATTCCAAAAGTACTAATGAGCTTCTGAAGACGACTGAACCAAGCACCCAGGGCACTTTTACACTATCGCAACCCCAGGCGTCCGCAACGGTACAACCCCAAGAGGGTCAAATAATTCTCGCTGAAAC